TGGAGGTGGCCTCAAGGGGGCCACAAACCTCACCATGTCATGCTTGACGACATCCCATATCCTCGGTGTTGGGTGCTTCACCGGATCTTTCCTCCATGACGCTAGTTCCTCAAGAATATGCAGCAAACCATGCTCAATCACGATCACAATCTCATTAAACTCCCATTTGCGCCTCACATTTTGCTCGATCGTCTCAAGAGAAGGTATATCAAGGCCCAAGACATGCTTCAGTGCATCTTTACTCAGGACCCACTTCATATTGGAAGAGACAAGACAAGGTTCAGCTTCTATCAGCACAAGAGCGGGGAGAACAGTACGTTTTTTCGCTTCAGCAGGTCGAGTACTGGGTCCAGCAAGTCGAGTACGGGGTACCCCAGTACTCTGCTGCTTCGACTCTGCTTTCTCTATATTCGTGATTTTTTCGTTCTCCGGCTCGTATGTGCACTCTTCAGGCTCTTCGGGGTCCTCGCTGCACGAATGGGTGACGCTTGAACTCATTGGAATCGTTTCGATCCGACACACTAGTCGGTCCATTTGTTCCGCCAATTGGCTCATTTGACCTTGCAAATTCCTTATGCGCATTCCTTGGCTCTCGAGGCTCGTCTCAACACTTTGCTGAAAGTTAAGGGTGTTAGCCGTCAACTCCATAATCATATCCTCAAGTGACGGACCATGATCTCTTTCAATTAATGGCTCGCAGTACTCTTGCCGAAATTTCAACGAGTTCAACGCCAATGCCTCTACCATATCCTCCACAGACGGGCTGGGATCAATTGGTGGCTCGGAGTACCCATAGAAATAGTTCGAGTGCTCTCTTAAGCGGTATTGATACTCATCGGGATATAAATATTCTTTCTCGTTCACTCGCCAACCACTATGTCCTCTTACGTCTCGGTCTCCAATCCACGGGCCTCGCATCTCCCTCTCATATTGGTAAGGTGTCTGGTGGGTATAAAAGTCGTGATAATAGGCTGCCATCTCGAAAAATTTCACCAAGCTCGATCAAAAGCGCCAATTAACCCGCGAGTATGGGGTCAAACTTTTCTATCCAGCAGAGTACGGGGGCGCCCAGTATTCTGCCAAGAAGAAAAAAGAAAAAACAAGAAAAAAAGGGGGGGTAAAAGATATAAAATAAAATCCTAAAAGAAAAGCAATAAAAAGATAATAATTCAATTAGTACTCAAAAATCACAATTCAATAACGCCACTCCCCGGCAACGGCGCCAAAATTTGACCGCGCGTCGCAACGCGGCAAAATTAAAATTTATATTTTCCTCGACTAACCTCTACTAACTAGTAGTAGTGGCGAGTAAGGGTCGATCCCACAGGGAGTGTGAATCAAATTGTGAATTTTCTCGTATTAATTGAAATATAAAAGCAATAAAAGAGGGGGGGTTTTGATTTTAAGAACTAAATTAACTAAAGCAAATAAAATCTAAACTAATAAAATAAAAATAAAAATAAATAAATTAGGAGAAATTTCTAGTTCACGGTTCCGTCAACACCCTCGACTGACACGTCTAATCAATTATGGCATCAAATCTCGCTATCTTATGAAATTACTAGCCCTAGGCAACGACACGGTCTGTTACCCGAATTTTTCCTTATTTATAATTTAATCGCGAGACGCTCTACGATTAAATCTGACCTCTTGAACAGTCTAGGAAACGCTTCCTAAATTTAATTCAATTAGCGCTTTACGATTTAGAAAAATAGGCTAGACTAAGTAGTGAACTCAACCGCGTTCGTTCACTTAATTAGGTTGTGTTATCCTCGGTAGTTACCATCTTCCGGATACCACTTGCGAATTAAACACATCAACAATTACGGATTAAAGGCCTAATTCAGGTGTAGATATGTAAAGCCTAATCTAGGTGATCAATCTAAACAAGACTCAACACATCATGGTTAATTATTCAAAATAACACAAACAATCGCAAAAAGATATTAAAATCATCAACCATGATCAATCAAAACATAGTCAATCTTAGGGTTCGACTTCCCCGGAACTAGAATAAAACCTAAGCTAACATAATAAATAAAAATAAAAATAAAAGAAAGAGAATAGAATTATCCTCTTTCGTGTGCGGGTGCGGCCTCCCTCCGCAATTGATCGAGTTCCCGTCTTTCTTCTGTCTGCGCGTGGCTCCGTTTCTGTTCCCTTTTTCTTTTTGTTTCCGTAACTATGTGCGACTCCTTTCTACCCTCTGTTCATATGTATCTGTATTGCGGCTCCCAGGCTTTGCGTGAATTATAGGGTCTGCTCCCCAAAACCTCCTCGTATTACGTGGTTTATTGCAAATATATCCTCTTGGTTTAATAAACAAAGTGGGCCTCCAAATTTCTCCCAAAAGTTGCGTGAGTGCTTTATTTCCCCATGTGGCTCTCTTTCATTTATTTCCCAATCAAATAATTTCCTTTGTAGCCCAAAATTTATTTGGCTCAATTGTATTCATGACCTGGCCCGCATTACGTGAATTGCAGGGGCTTCACTACTCTATTGGACGTCTGAGTATGGGGTATTGTTGGGTCAGTACGGGACATCCCCATACTCTGCTGAAAAACTTTCTTCATCCTTCTTCATGCATCCATACATCATCGTGCAATCAGAAATAGTCCCAAAACTGCTGAAAATATATTATAAAATATCAAAGTACAAGAATCCATCTAACAAATAAATAAGTCGAAAGACATATAAGTGCGACAAAATTAAGCATATAAAAATACGCTAATAAATATATAAAGTACACACTTTTCCCGACCAATCAATAACAACAACAACGACGACAACAACAATGATATTGATATATAAAAATTACGAAGACACTATAATACAAGTCTAACGCCCAACCGGCCGAGAACCGCTTCGAGCTTGCTTTCCTCGCAGATAGAATGATGAACCTGCACGTAACTCTCACACCGGAGGTGTTTTTCGGTGAAGAGCCTCCAACGCTCAAGTCAGATCTTGAGAAGATTAAGAATATATGTGTAAGTATGTGAAAAGTATCAGAGATTGTATACAGTGAAAGATCTCATCCCTACTTATAGGGACGAGCTACCTGCTTACACGCGCCTTTAAGGCGAGTCGCGTGGGTCGTTTTCCCTGCTCGTCCGCACGGCCGCGCGCCTCCACTACTCTCGATGTCAGAAACGCGTCGAATGTGTCAGAGAATGTCAGAGTTGGTTATTGCGTTGGACCACTCTTAACGTGCCGTGTGTCCCCCTTTCACGTGCTGGAGATTCTCCATTATATTCCTATGTTCGACCAAATCTGGAGTGGATGCTAAGCTGTCCCTAAGGTATGAAGTGGTCGATTCCACGACCACGTTTATCTGACCATCTTTCCTCGACCAGATCCTCGAGCAGCCAGATGTGCTCATCTTCCCCTTCGCCCTCTTACCTTTGTCACGAATGTCCGGTTCAGTAAGGCCATTAACCAATTTCCTCCGGTCGACTCGCTGAACTGGTCTAGTAGATAATGTCCCATATCACACTATTTTGTATTTACCGCTCTATATATACAACTAAACTTTATACGTGCACACACATTACAAACTCTTAAACAACATATTTTTCTCTCAAAAAGAAAAAATGAAATAAAAATATTCGAACTATTACTTATAATTACCATTTTACTACTTATTATTGGTAGTTGAGCCAAAATAAAATTCATTCATCGAATATCATTTCGAGAGAACGCTCATTTTCATTATACTGGGTTTATAAAATTATTGGTCAATACACGTGATTATATTTGAAATGTTGTTCAAGTATAATTAATTAAAATCAACCAGTAAGATGAGATAAAATGATTAAGTTGTTTGGATATACGCACGTTCAAGTCCTAAGCTTAATTGGGTGGTTCGTGAATGAAGGAATCGTATCACCATTGAGTTCTATACTAAAGGTTCGTTTGCTTTGTCCATGTAAATGTACTTCATTATTTTGAGTTCGTCCTTCGACGCAGTCTACGAGTTTCCTAAAGATCATAAATTAGAGTTATGTTATGAAAGCCTATAGGGTCACACAATATGCAATTAGTTTTCCGACTAAGAGTGAATCGAGATTGTTAAATATTCAATTAGATTGAAATATTTATTTATGAGTAATGATATTATTTTCTATTTGATAAAAAATAATTAATTAAGTTAAATTGTATTTATACTTAATTATTAATACTTGGATTAGATCCACTTACCTATTGGGCTATAGGGTATCCTAAGGCCTATATAATTAGGTTTGACCTAATTATAAATAGGTCATTATATCATTATGGTTTTTTGATCGATGGATAAATGAATAAAAGAAAGACTTTGAGAGATCCCCAAAAGTCTTAGAGATTGAGAGATCAAGATCGGAAGAAAACACTCTCCGACTTTCTAATTAAGGATTCCTAGCTTTTTCACCAGAAGGAGTTCATTGGCATTAGACCGTGTATCGGAAAGTTGGATTGCGTGGATACCATAGTCGAGGACATAGACGAACAACTATACGTTTTCGTTGATCATTCACGCGAGGATCATATCAAATAGCTATAGTCGGATCTTCGTTGTTGGTAAGAACAATTTAAAATTTCGTTTCGCGTATGCTAAGTTAGTACGTCTAAAATCCAACAAATACATCATAATTATTAATTCGCATCATCCAACGACCCAAAAAAACCAAAATTTACACCCAGTAGGGAAATTTTTTATATTTTATCTAACATGTTAGTGTGTGCCCCCACTCCCTCCTCCTCTCACTCT